GTTGGTTTCACCGTGCCATCGCATGAGGTACCATCGAATCAAAAGAGAAACCACCATTATGGTGTTACAGGCTGGAAATGCAAGTAAAAATACATTCCGAAGGCTTCATCTTTCTGCTCGTTTCTTGCCATTATCCGTTTGGACGCGACAGCTGAACTCTCCAAGTTGATCCAAGGCAACTTCTACAGCACATTGCGCTGTCCATGGCTGTACCGAAGGTGGCCCCGTTCTACGGAAATGCCCCCTTCATACTAGAAGCCGGCGACCTTACTTCAGCTATCGCTTCAGGGCTCCTTCGACCGAACGTCTTCGTTCAGCAAACCGACCGAAATCTAGAAAACTACGGCGTCGCCTACAGTCGCAAGGACAATATCGGTATTGAGACTCATGGTTCTCAAAAGGCCATTCAAACTCGCTGTAAGGAATTTGCTAAGTCTCGCGGATTCCAGCTGAAGGTTGCGGGATTCAGTAGTAAACACGGCGGTGGTAATGCAAAGTACGTCTGCAAGAAATTGAACGGCCAGCAGTTCTTCGACATGGAAGCTGACCAAGGCGCCATCAGTTGTCCCTTTTTCTTCAACGTCAGTGGAGTTGCCGGTGAATGGAAGGTGATAAGGGCCAATTTCTGCCACAACCATCTCAAGAACGTCGGGTTTTATGGACGCCCTGTTGCTGAAGGGACCATCGCTCGTCCTGACAAAACCTGCGGAATACAACACAGCAGGTCGACGAGATGATCCGCCTGGTCCGATCCGAAATGCTGAACAAGTATGATGGCAAAACGGACCGGATGACTGGAGCTGCAATCGCTAAGTTTCTTCTCGGAAAAGGAATTACGACAGGTCGGTCTTCAATAAGCCGAATTAAGCTAACCCTTGACGAGTTGAACCACGGCGATCGATTGACAAATTACCAAAAACTGGAAAGTTATCTGAAGCTCATGGCGGAAAAAAAATGCAGGCTCGGTCTGGAAATTCGAGAAGGACATTGATGGAACTTTTCAGCGTGCCTGCTTCATTCCAAGTATCGGTATTCGAGTGGCAAGAGCGGGTAGGCGTTTATTTGGAGTCGACGGTGCTCACTTGAAAGGTGAGATGAACAACTATGGAGTTTATCTCGTCGCGACAGTGAAGGACTACGACAA